ACCCGCGCGCACTTCAGGACCCTGTCCAGACTGTGTTGCGCCTCAGATTTTTTGCTTGCCGGACCATCATTTACAGGCCCTACATCTTGGCTGTCTTGGACAATGAGCAGGCTATCTTGGACCCTGCAGTACGAGACAGTTGCCACAAGTGCTTGGAGGCTTCTGTGCGCCAACTGGAACACATCTCTGCACAGTAAGTCATGATTGATCATCATTTTGCCACACCCTCAAGACTAATTCGTTTGCCTCAGCCATGCAGGCCACATGCCCTATTTGTGGCAAGGTGCACTCTCGATTGTATCCCAGGCACTGCTCGTCATGGGCGCCACCATGTCACCCTCGTTGGGTAGCATCCTTCTGACGCTATGCGGTAGCCGTGAGGCTATCGACCAGATCATCAATGACGTCGTTATGGAGGTCGAACGTTATTCAAACCTAGCGCCGAGTCTGAGCTTGGCGGCTGAGATCATTAAAGAAGCCGAAGTGAGGAGGCGAGCATTCCTCAGCGGGTGATGGAAACAGCCCCGGAAAGACCCGCTCGATACGACGTGCAGGCCCCTCTTGACGACTGCGAGAACCACCTCGCCTGTCGAAATCATGCGTCCGAAGGGACCGCGGGCACTTCATTTACGAAAACCCCCATGCAGTCCGTCGAGCGTATCTCCGTTCGGCAGACCTCCCTCAATACGTTTCTTACAGAGCCAGAGGCATCGCGTGTCCTGCCCTCTGCACCCCTTAAAGCGCGCAGCACAACATTGGCATCTACAACACCTGGCACAAGTACCGCACAACTGCAAGGTCATCCTTGACAGTGTGAAGAAATTCACAACGTTACAAAGAAGATGTCATCCCACAATGCCTCGAACAATCCGTAGTCGGTCGAATCGAGAGGCAAGGCAGGCTGCACTCACTGCATCTCTGCGGGAAAGCTGGCGGGAACGTTCCCACGATCCGAGCCATGTCAGCCCACGCACGGCCATCATCTGGGGTGCAGGCGCTGGGGTTGCACTGACCACTGTGTGTATGGACACCAGTCGGCCATTGCCTGCGCCAGAGCGCGTTGTGGTTGGCGGGTATTACCTGGACTAGGGCGGCGTCCGGACCGACATGCCGCATCCCACCGCGCCTGACCCAATCAGTCACAAGCCTACGACAACCTCCTCGCGATAGCTGCGCCGCTGGACACTCGAATGCAGACCACCCCTCTTCTCGATCCTGAACATGTCAATCCATCGAATTCCGAAAAGGAATCGGGCTTGGTAGCGGGCAGCACTGGTAATTGTGGCATCCTTTCTACGCCTGCACCAGCAAACTCCGCTACATGGCATGTATGCGAGCCGCGCATGTTGCTACCTCCTGCGTCATCACCGAGGCCTCTCGCAAATCGGCGCATCGTCAATCTGCTTCGGGGATGTAATTGTTCTGATGCAACTTGTGTGGCAATTTGAGAGCAGCGCTATTACGAGCGATTTACTGAAGTGTGCCGCGCGAGCCCTCGGTACCTGACGAGGCATATACCCCTGACGACATGACATATCCCTGGAGTTCCGGTCCCCAAGGCTGCAAGGAAGGAATCAGCGAGTCAACATGGGATTTTGCCAACCACTGGTGGCGAGGCTGGCTGCAGGCCAACGGTCGTCTCGATTGGCAACGCTACGTGTGGTTTCTCTACTTCTTGTACAATAGTTTACGCTGTAATGATCGACATTGGAAATTGCAACACGTTCCGTGAAGTGGCAACAGCCCACCGTGTTTCCTTTCTCTGGAGTTCATGCGCTGAGTATTCCTCAAGGTGACCGACCTGTTTTCTTGGACACGAATCCCCCCCCCCTGAGCAAGTGAGCGAAGGACTGGCGCCTGGCGCCACTTTGGGTCATCCTCATTTCCCGCAGTGTGACCTGGGAGGGTTCCACTGCTGCCATCACACGCGGGAACATGCACGATTTGCGAGGCGGAGTGCACGGGCGGGAAAATCGGCTGAGCGCCGAGGTGACCTCACGTTGCGACAAGCAGCCGACTCTGTTGCCTCTCTTTCGTTACCTTGTCGGTCTCTCCTCATCGTATGTTTCCGAAGCGGACCCGGTCTCTGATATAGTGGTCAGGTTGTGACTGTGAGATGTCTCTCCTCGGTCGAAAGGCACTTTTCTGACCGTGCGACTGGACAGTTGACTTGAATCGAGCTCTCGATCCCGACGACCACTTACTTGCGACCTGAAGAAGAAGGCCGAGCAGGGGAAGGGGGGGGGTTGAAGTTTGCTGGCTGGCACGGTGGAAATTTGGAGTAGCTCTGGGGATTGGCGGGACTCTGGAACGCCTACGGGTTGCGGGGTAAAACGCTCTTGTAAGGCGGAGGGACATGGCTTCAATTTGAGGGGGGATGTTCAGGGTCGGAGCCATTCTGGGCCATAGCTTCCGCTGGCTAGGGTCTTTCGTCGGGATCTCTCGCGCCCAGGGGGGGGGGGGATTTTTTTTGTCTGAAGACCTAATTGCCGCTCGTCAGAAATGGAGGTCCGCCATATCAGACGAGGAGGAGCCGATTGATCCAATCTCATGCAATGTCAACCATTGTCAGCCTTGAGGTGGTTTTGGAGCTGAAAGATGAAGGAAAGGGGACGGCCGGGCATCGAGGATTGGCGGTCTTCCGCTCGCCTTGCGGCGTTGGGACGTATTGGCTGCCATCCATGCCCGTCAGCCTGACCTCCCCCTACCTAGAGGTACCGGACACAGTGGTACGCGAACCGGGCTTGCGTTCGCCCGGCACTTGCGCGATGTTTGGGTCAGGCAGACATACCAAACACAGCTACACCTGGAAGGCATACTGGGGAGAAGCAGAAGCGAAATGCAATCCAACTTCGCGAATGCGGGCGGCTGCTTCGCTTGCCTCGATGAGCCCCCTCATTCTCTGCATCGCCATAATGGATCCTTTTTTGGCTGGGGGGGGGTC